ATATCAATAATCAATTAAAACTATTTTAAATCAATCTACAAACTTCACAGATAATTTGTTTTTATCTAATTTTGTTTTAGTCAAAATAAAAAATTTGTTCGAATTTCAATGAATAAAGCGATTTTTATTTTCCTAAATTTTAATATAACATATAATGTGTACTCAAGCACTTATCCTTGTATATTTAACTAACGAGTAAATAATGATTATTATTTATATTTTTGAGATGATTTTAAAGGAAAATGAATATATTATTTATATATTAATTATAAACTTATCATTTTCTCATCAGAGAAATCTACGTATAATCAATTGCGTGTTGATTAAGACGTTATTACTGCTTATTTTATTTTCTTTGTTTGTTTTTTTCAATCAAACTTTTTTTCAACAATAATTACCTCCAATTATCAATAAGAATTTTTTTCTCGAGAATATTTTTTTAAAAATTCTATTGAATTATAGATAGACAAATGCTGAATTTCATGTTCATTTAGAATATTTAATAAATAAATAAAAATTAAAAGAAAATAATATTTTTATTGAGAAAAATCAATTTAAACGTAGAAAATCAATGTATGATCATTTATGATTATGACAGAAAAGTTTTAAAAAAACTGGAAAATATTTTCCAATTGTAAATAATAAAATTTGATTTTAAACAAAAACATATTTCATATTTTTCATGTATTATTTTGCTTTTAAAATCATAATTCGAAACAAAACAAAACAAAACAAAACAAAACAATACAACTGTCTCGATCGATATACGAATTTCATACATTTACGATTTTATTATCATCTAAAACAAACTAAAAAAAAAATTGGAAAAAAGCTTTATTTTATTCACTTTTCGGATTATTTTATCATAAACCTATGAAAAAATTCGTTTCGAATTGTTTTTTTTTACATAATATTTGATTGTAAATAAAATAAAAAAAGATGTTGTCGATATTTAAAACTTTTTTTTAGTGATGTTGATAAATGACATGACAACGACAATCACAGCTAATTATACATTGATTTTCTACATTAAAATTAATTTTTTCAAATAAAAATATCATTTTCTTTGAGTTTTCTTTTTTTTATTAAATACTTGGAATAAGCATCAAATTTTGTATTTGTTTATCTATAATTCGATAGAATTTGAAAAAAAACTAAAGTTTTTCAAGAGTGTTGAGATTCTCTAAACGTGAAAAAAAACAGGTGAGAAATGAAAGTCATTTTTCAATAGAAAAAAAAGTTCTTATAAATGATCTTTCTTTAATTTATACGTCTATATTCTATTCAACAAAATTGAAATTGAACTTAAATAAAATGAAATCTATTTTATTGGAAAAAGAAAAATCTTTATGCATGTTAAATATTATTAAACAATAGAGAAAAATAATATGTTAATTAGCTACAGTAGTTAAAATCAAAATATTTATTATTTATTAAATAAATATTCTATTGAAACTTGTTTAAATTCTATTTTCTTTTATTATTGATGTATGAACAAGACGGGTTTTCTTTGCCCATATTTATGATAAATAAGCGATACATACAAAATGGCATTAGAAGTTGAACAAAATGTGGTGTATTATATAAATAATAATAAGTTATTCCATTAATAAAAGTTGGAATAAAATAAATATGAACTAGTGATACTAATGACAATGGATTTCAAAATAATAAATAAAAAATTGAAATAACCATTAATTGTAATGTTAATTTTCTTGTTGATCGACAATTTAATGTTCTTCTCATTTTCTTCGCTTGAATTAAAACTCTTAATAACAAAGTAATACTTGCTAATGGTATTAATAATGATGGAAGTAACATATGTGTTATCCAATCATAAGCTGATAACCAAGCAACACTATTATAACAAATTGGACCACAAAGAAATGATGT